CATAAGATTAATTTAATGTTACATTGGAACAAGCAAGTTCGCACGACAGATAATTGTCGTGGTAACTTGCATGTTCCAGTGTAACAGTTTATATATATATATATATATATATATATATATATATATATATATATATAAACATTCTCAGATGGAATATATCTGTAGAAGCGACAAAAATATTTTGATCTAAAAAATGCCACACTTATCAAAAGAGAAAGCAGGAGGGTGGTTAATTAATTTTAATCTTTTAAAACCTTTATTCTACAATCTACATTCAACATCATCACTTGATAAGACACCAGAGGTGTTGAAACAAAATGGCAATTTTTGTAGTGATTTTATAACATATTTATGTTATTTATTTTATAATTTTTGAATAAATAATTATATTCGCTCTACTCTGTATTGAGCACTCTTTTAATAATAGTAATCGTTGGTTTTGGAATTTATCCCGTATACACAAATCATATACTTGTATATATATATATATATATATATATATATATATATATATATATAAAAGACAAGGAAAACATCTTAGCCAACACGTTTTGTCCTCTAGGGATTTTATCAAAACATTTTCGTTGATTGATAAAGTTTCTCAGAGGACGAAACGCGTCGGTTAAGATAAGTTTTTCTTTTGTCCTTTTCCATATTACCCTTTAAAAGATATACTGTATCTGAATTTATTACAGTATATATATATATATATATATATATATATATATATATATATATATATGTATGTGTGTATGTGTGTGTGTGTGTATTCTACTATATATAAATGTATATATATATATAGAGAGAGAGATAGAGATAGTGATTCAATTATATATATATATTCAATTGTATATATATGTATGTATGTGTGTGTGTGTTAAAAACATTTTAAGGAATGCTATATTTATAGCATGAATACTTGAATACTTGAATAAATAAGTGAATAAGTCCTCAATATCGGGGACAGAGCTTATGTAAATATCAAAATATAAAAGTGGACATTGAAGTCAACACCAAGCGGTGACAGTCTGTTTCATGCTTAAACGCCGTCCCCAGTGTGTGTGTCTGTGCGTGTGTGTGTATGTATGTATGTGTGTGTGAGTGGTTGCATATATGTGTAGTTACAATCCAACTTCAGGTATATTTATATAACTCAGATGAGGGTGATGTTCTTACATATACCTTTATTTTTTTTTGTCGCTTTCGATGACAAGACTAACTCTTGTGGTTGTGTAATTTTTATAATTGCAACTAGAATTGATTTTCAATTTCGAATTCTTTTTCTGCAATCTTTTGTTCTTTGTTGTTCTGTTGCCGTTTCTCCTTGCGTATTTGTGCCAGTAATGCCAACGCAGTGAGCAGACACGAAGTAAAAGTCAAGACTGCCCGAGAAATGAACATGTAATTCTTCAAATTCGTATTGTCATACAATGAACAAGAACCACGCCCATTGGCCGTAATATTCCAGACAATGCAAGCGGCATCAACTAGAAATCCAAAAACAACCGGACCTGACATCCATCCTTAAAGAACAAAGAAAAGAAAAGAAAATTAAATACAAAAGCGTTAGATTTATTTCATATCATAATTAACACAATTTTTGCCCTTATTTACCAAGTTTAGATCTGGCACACAAGTTCTCAACAATGGGGTACCCAGTGAGGATTGACCATTACCACTCAGTGGTAATGGTCAACTAGATAAGTGTGACACTCGGTTTGTCACGACATCTATGTAATCAAGTGGATTGTAAATAATTTTATTCGGGTCTGGTTTTACCGACTGTGTAACCAATAAAAGCAAGATGTAAAAGTTTCCAAGTAACCATCTGCTGTCTAGAAATAAGTAAATAAATAAATAAATAAAAACTTTCAGGATCGATGCCACTTGGCCGGAAAGTAGAGAATTTCGGTCATGGGCTTATATAGTCAGTATACAGTCACAAGTCGTCCGTCACCGGCAATATGAGAGATTTGCAGAGTTACGGCGTAAGAAAATATGTAGAGTCGGGGGGGGGAGACCGGATTATCGAATGTCGAATGGAAGATCTGGTCCGATAGTCTGTCATGAAAGAAGTACCAATGAAGATGTCTCTACCTAACAGTATACAGCGCCAGGTGAACAATCCATAAATAAACAACCCTGTATATGGAAACAACCTAGTCGTGGCAATATTTCACTTTCCGTTCCCTTGTGAACTTAAATGGGGACTTTTTTTCAGTTCGGTTCGCACCAGCGCAGACGGGCATAGAAATACTGTGTAGGATGGATCTGTCTAATCGGTGAGAAATTATCCGAGAGACTCAGCTGTATATTTACACAAGCTCACTAACCATTAATTCCAAGCTGATATGCCCATACATTCGTATATTTAGAGGCAAAGTTTGGGAAGAGCTAAAAAGGAATATCCCGTTATACAAGAGAATGTTGAAGCGCGCATGTGTGATTGTCCTTCCAATCCTGACAGCGGACTTAGTTGACGTTTGCAGCTTAGTTTTGGGGCGGATACAGAAAATGTATTGTTGTTTGATTAGCATGCAAAAGCAGAAACACTAATTTTCAAGTCGTTGAAGGAGCTGAAGACAAAATGGTGACACAGCTGAAAATAAGCTTAAAGAATCACTAAAAATGAACTAAAATGAATGCTTTTAGCACATAGAAGCCACCAAGGACTGTTACATGAATAACAATCCCCCAAGAAACAACAAATTAGATAATAAAAGAAAAATCAAAATCCGTACAGTCAAATATTCTTAAAATGTCATTTTGAAATAAATAAAAAAGGATCACACTGTAATTATCTGTCTATAATACGCATTTGATTCCTTAGTTTTTAAGCCTAAAATTTAGGGTGTGTATTATACTCGAGAAATAAATATTATGGGTTTTTTTTTCGATCATAATGTATGAATCGTCCACGACCTATTTTCTAAAAATATTGAAATAAACAAAATATATAATTACTTTTTTTATTTTTTTTTATTAAACTTGATCAGTTTGGCATTATCTGCAGCCAGAATATGTTTTTAAAACATTTGTCCTGATGGATGATACGAAAAGCTAGGGATTTATTACAATTATTTCCATTAATTCTATTAATCGCTAAGCGTGTGTTCGTTTCAGTGATAGTCAAAATTAGAACAAAATATAAAGAGGGATTCGTTCATATTGTTTTACTTGAAGTGCACAGGGATGATATTATTACAATTCAGTATGAAAGAAAACGGTATTGGCCAATATAGATAAAATAAATAAATAAATGCAAGAGAAAAACCTGTTATATTTATAGTGTAAATCTACGAAAACAAATAATAATTTGGAGATTTGTTTTACATTTTACATTTATACTAAAACATTTAAATGTGTATCTTCATGACATCAGTCGAGAGCGATCATTTGTCGACCAGCATTCTGGCATAGCTTCCATATGATTTGTATCAATATTGGTGCCTACTCAAAGTCAACCCTTTTATTTAATTCTGTGTATGAATTTTGACCAATTGGGATTTCTTTAATTTTTGACTATTGGTGTTTTGGCCAATCAGAGAGGCGGGTTCCATTTTTCTCTCAACCGTTATTCGAAGTATTCAATTACAATGGCTGCTATTGTTTTTAGACAATGAGAAATTATATAATAAAAAAGTTCATTTAAAAAAGTGTAATGAATATTACAAGTATTTTAATGCAATTGCCATATCGGTACCACATAAGTTGTTACGATTATTGAAAGTATTAAATAATATATTTTATATCACAGATGAAGAATACCATTTTTAATTGAAAAGGTAAATACAAGGAGTGTATTTAAATCAATACATTCAGCTGTCTGGCTTTTTCAGTATTAAAGACCCAGTCATGTAAGTTGGGGATCAGAATGTACAGTTACGCATGCAGTTCTTTGAATTGTCGTATAAAGTAAATATAAATTAGCTTTGTAATCCTAGAATCCTAGCAAGACAGTAAAGCCACTAAGACGTAAGGGGGTGGAAGAAAACAGAAAGATTAGTAAAGAGCGAGAACAAAAGAAGAGTAATCAGGAGGACAGTAGATGCAATTTAGATGCAATTGGCATTGCATCCAAATTTTTGAAGATTAAAGTTGGCTGGCAAGCATTAGGACAAAAGGGGGTTCCACAAGCGAGAAAAGAAACTGTTAGCATAGAATTTACGGTTACATCTAGCCAACTCAACTGTAAATTGATGAGACCTCATTGTCAGTTTAGTACTGCACTTCAAAAACTCTAGGTACCATAGCGAAGAGCTCGCCCGAACAATTACCATGAAAGTATTTATAGAAAAGGCACAAGGAGGTAAACTTATGGCGGTGGGAAAGTGATTGAAGCCAAAACGCCAGATCAGGACCAATAATATTGCTGATTCTTCTTTGGATTTTATCAAGAGCACTAGATAAATAGCAGGAGCACCGGACCATATGAGACAGCAATATTCTAAGCATGGACGCATGGTAGACTTATAGATATGTAAGACACATTCTGAAGAGAAAAATTGTCTCGCGTGACACAATGAACCAACTTTCTTAGTGGTTGAACTACAATGGATTCAATGTAGTCTTTCCATTTCATGTCAGCCAAGAACATTAGCCAGAGAAGGCGCAATGAATCCCTTTCCCAGAGGTTAGCATCAGCCATGCTGATGGAAGCCAGAGGCGTCTCTCAAATGATTAATGGAGAGCAATTTAGTTTTGGAGGCGGTAAAATTAACACGCCATACTCTGCTCCAGTTAACAACAGACTGAAGGTAGATTTGGCCATCAGCTGCTAATTTGACCTTATAGAACTGATCAGATTTACTATCAAAACAGGACGGATGTCTTTCTAATTTATGATCATAGTCATTTGTTCTAATGGATGTTTTAATCCCATGTGGGAAAAGGCTTACTTACCTACTAAGGAAGTAAAAAATGTGGACATGCCAACCGCTAAGCTCTTGTCTTCATCTCCTGCAATTCTATAAAAGAAAAAAAAGACAAGAATAGAAAAATTAGAGAACGAATAAGAGAGAGAGAGAGAGAGAGAGTGAATGAGAAGAGAGAGAGTGAGTAGAGAAAAGTGAGAAAGAAAGAATGAAGATGAAAAGAGAGAGCGGGAAAGTAGAACGAAACGAGACAGTAGAAAGAGCAGAAGAGAGAGAGAGAAAGAGAGAGAGAGAGAGAGAGAGCGTGAGAGAGTGAAGAGAGAGAGAGAGAGAGAGAGAGAGGGAGAAAGAGTGTAGAGAGAAAGAGAAGGTGAGAGAAAAATAATGAGAATGAAAAGAAAGAAACGGGAGAGTAGAAAGAACTAAACAGAGAGAAAGATAGAAAAGACAGAGTGAATATCTAGAAAGTAAGAGAGTGAATATTTGGAAAGTGATAGAGAGTAGAGAGAAAGAGTTAGAGAGTAGAATAGAGATACAGTGAAGAAAAAAAGGAGAGATAGATAGATAGAATTTAGAGAGAGAGAGAGGGAGAGGGGATAAAGAAGAGAGAGAGAAAAATTTATAAGAATTTATAATTTCGACAAAAATTAAAAGCTTCTGTTTGTCTATACCTGTGCATTCATTTTTCTTGTCGGATTAAAAAATGGAGAGACAATGATATTTTAAAAAAGGAAAAATAAGGTATTTTCAAATAATAATAAAAATACATATTCGTTTGAAATATTTGATTTGTAATTATTCTCAAAGTGTGTATCACGCCTGCCAAAGTCGCCTCGGTAAACTCGGTTTTCTTTTAATTCTACTCTCTCTCTCTCTCTCTACTCTATCTTTCTCTTTCTCTCTCTCTTTTCTCTACTCTATCTCTCTACCCTTTCTCTTTCTCTCTATTCTCTCTCTTTCCCTCTGTTTCGCTCATTCTACTCTCTCGTTTGTCTCTACACACTCTCTTTTTCCATTTTCATTCTTTCTCTCTCGCTTCCTCTCTACTCTCTTTTCATTCTCTCTCTTATACTTTGTCTCTCGCTTTCTTTCCCTCTCTCTCGCTTATTATCTTTGCGGGATTTAAAAAAAAAAAATAATTCCAGGCACTTCCAATTTAATATTTTGATTCATGATCACAATGATAAGAACAACATCTAACTTGCATATCAGGTATAAATGTTCATCGAGTGTTGAAGTTCACAATTTCAACACTAGATGGCGCTTGTTCGATAGATAAGGTTTACATTTTGGATTGTTCTAGAACTGTGTTGAACATTCCCGGTATATAAATAACCAGAGATTATCTGCGGCCTCGTTGAAGATTGAATCTATTGAATGGTGGTCGGATCAAACTATTATTAAATGTTTAAAAATGTATAATTAATACGTGGAAGTTAATCATACATCTTACTTATTATAAAACGCAGATTGTATGTGTGTCTGTACGTTTATATATTGGATCGGATTTCCTACATTTTTCAACCGACTTCAACAAAACTTCACAGGACTACGTAAAATTACCTTGCGGTGGTTCTAACAGCGCCAAAAATCGGAAAAACACAATTGTTTTTGCACGAAATCAATTTGAAAACACTATTAAGAGGCATTAATGAAAGTGAGGACAACTCATATCGAGTTATACTTATTAATATCGAGTTATCGAGTTACACTTATTATAAAATCCAGGTTGGTTGTTTGTGTGTGCGTGTGTGTGTTCGTTTATATATGGGATCGGATTTCCTACATTTTTCAACCGATTTCAACAAAACTTCACTTTTTTTTGGCAGGTAGTGTTTCTTATTGTCTTGCACACTTTTTCTTTATTTTTACATTAAAAATTCCATTTACAAGACAATTGATTATAATAAAATTCTATTCAATCGGTAGACTCATAATGATTGAAAACAATGTTTTTGTTTGAGTTTGGGTTTGACCAATTCGTAAAAAAAATAAAATAAAACTAATTAAGACGTGTGTGTCCGTCAACCTTAAACAATAATCTTTGTCAATTTTATTTTTCAGTCTTTATGATAGTCGATACTTGATCTATCTCTTACTGTTACATCCTCGGGCAACGCCGGGCTTTACTGCTAGTCTTATATATATTTATAGGCAGTAGCGTATTTAAATGGAGGTGGCTCATTCCGGACAACACTTTTAGTGGGTGGGAGCACTTTTGGGTTCGCTGTATGAACCTGTACAGACTGTATTGAAATAAAAGCGGTTTTAATGTCAGGACAATATTCACAGTGGAAGGACCTTTTCGATTTCGACTAACTTAAACTACGGCGTATGCATTTAAGTGATTATTATCTTGGGCGAACAATAAATATAATCCAGTGATGCATTCACGGCTGTTTTATCATTGTTGAAATGTGAAATATGTTAAGGGATCCAGGATGCGTTCTTTAAGAGCTGCAGCCTCATTGTGTGTTAGAGACACATCTTGGTTGTTATCATATTAATTTCAGTTATTTTTCTTAACAGGAGTTCGTTTGAGGTATGTGTTGGTCTATTTTTCGACTTTTGAACCTGTTAATATAATAATATATATATATATATATATATATATATATATATATATATATATATATATAAAAGAGGGAATTACTGTGCAATATGTTGTATTTTTGTGAGAGTCGGGGAGTTGTCTTCATCTCTTTTCATTTTTTTCTCGTCCAGGTGATCGCTAATTAGTTTTTTCGGAGGTGAAATGAGAACTTCAACAAAAGAGATTTTAAAACTTACCTATTTCGTTAAAACATCGACGTATACATTTTTAACTAGCCAGTGGGGTCGCTCTATCACCCCCTCTGGGGAGCAAGTTCCCTGAGACACGAAATAACAACGTCTAATGTATATGACGTGTAAAAACTTAACTCCACGAAAACACTTTCTAACTCTAACATTCTCACGTTCGGCTCAGCCAATCAAAATCAACATCCTTATTTTGTCTACCATCTGACCTTAAATGTCAGCCTCAGAAGGTTTGAACCAAAATACACTGTCACTAAAAAATAACAGTCTGAAAGTATTATTTAACACTGCACCGAGCGGATTACTCTCTAGCTACACCAGTGTCTATGTAATCTATCCTTGGGGACGATTCGGGAAATTGAATATATATGAATTAAATAAAGGCTAATTAAGTTAACCTTACTTTTCAGCAATTTCTGTCTACCCAGTTGTTCCTTTCTATTTCTGGAGTCCTCTATGATTTGATCGATGAACCTTCTTACTGGTCGATGTCTTGATCTTTTCCTATAATCTGGATTTCCACTTCTTGTTTACCTCTCCAACAATGTCCACTAAACTGCACTCGCATTTCCCAGATTGTCTCCGTAATCTTTGATAGATTCCCATATATTTTTACATTGGGCAGGTGTATAGCAATTTACTCAGCAGAGCTTAGATGTGGCACAAGGCCGGAAGTATGGAGCACCCAGTGAGGATTGAACACACTATTTAATTGTAATTAATCAAGCGAGACAAGCTTGTTAACCATTTTTTTTTGCAGGTGATTTTTTTAATCTCAAACTGCTTAACCTGTATAAGAGGAATGTTTGTATCATTACTTGCTTATGACACGTCATGTTAAACATACCGGGTTCCTGTTGATCACTGAAGTTAAGCAACATCGAACTTGATCAGTATTTAGATGGGTGACTGTTTGGAAATACCAGGTGCCGTCAGCTTTAAATCTTTTACATCGTTAGAAATATATATGAAGCAGATTATTGATATTAAGCATTTGTTTTGTATAATTTCGTCTTGACCAATGAGAACACGAGACTTAATCTCTGCTATTTAACATTACGATTTATTCACCCTGTGCTTTGCTAATTAATGTCGGCCAGTGTGTGTGAGTAGCCCCTGGCTTCACATCGGAAACGTCTGTAATGTCTGAGAGCCACTCCTCATATACAGCTAGACCGGGTGCTTATATATTTATCTCTGTTATGCAGCTCTTTCTCACGCGTGTATCCCAGGTGCAGCTAGGCCGACGTGTTCGTCTGTCGAGGTTGCCGCTGGCATTGGGTGAATCTCGAATCTCCATCCCTGGATAGGATGTCACCTCAGTTCAACTCAACACCTGGCTCCCCTGATGTGTCTAGTGTGAGACTGAGTACAAAGTCTATTCTGACATGATATGGAGTGAGACAGATACTACATTTCTCTTCGTACTAATGAAAAGTGATAACCCAACACAGACCAGAGCGGAAATATAAAAAATATGACTCACTGTTTGAATTTCTGGTATGAGGAATTATTATTATTTACACTCGGACTAATGTCCTCATCTTTCTTGTTACGAACATATGATCACAACGTTTCAATCACTGTGCCTATGTTATAGTGAAACACACCTATTCTATTGTTAATAGACTCTCCCACCTATAATACGTAGTAGTAGTAGTAGTAGGAGTGGCTCAGTAAGTCGCTCAGTCAGTCGATGTCGGACATTAAAGTATCAGCCACCACAACTAGATTGCTGCGTCATTAACTATTATATCAAGTTCCGAAAGTTTTGTAGGTCGAACCTTTTTAGGACCGGCTTAGTGAAATACAAGCCTCCACTGTGAAACTACTCTATAACAGCCTCCAACCTTCATCAGGTGCCTGTCGTTTAGGATAAACTTCACCGAACGTCGAATTGAACTCTTTATTTAATCTACACGGATATATTATTCTCATTCTGTTGTCTATGTCTACGGGTATCTGATTTTGGTGGCATAATAATTCCGAGTTTAATCCCTGGGCAGGGTAGTACATATTTAGACTCAGTGAAACAGATCGAGCAATAACGGAGCAATGTTAAAAAGTATATACCTAGAAATGGACAACGGAACAAGAACGTACATTAAATAAAAGGGTTCAGCTAAACATTCTCTAGTTATTCGAATCGACAGATCTAAAGAAAGCCGAAGAGCACAACGACCGAAGATTGTGATAACAACAAAGGGGAGCACGTTAGCCTGAATGTAAATAATATGAATAATACAGAAATATGACGATAATTATTTGAACTCTTGAAAGAAAATGAAATTGTTCAATATTTTCTCTCATTGGGCAATGTCAAAACATTCTTATTCACTAAACGTTAGTATCTTTTCTTTCTAAGTAATAAAAGTTGTAAATAGTTTAAATTCAGACGGGAGGGCCTTTTAGGACCATAACTATTAGTAGACCATCGCCAATCCCGTCCGGATGTTTTTAATAAAGTTGCAGCGTTTCAGCCCTAATAATATAATCAATAATAGTTTCGGCAATTGCTTCCAGTAGGGAGGTTAATTCCATATACAAGGAAATTCTTTGGGATTTTTCTTTTGATAGATAGTGCTCTCTTAAAATTTGCAGCGCTTTTCTGCCATCGTCAAAG